GTGGGGGGGGGGGGGGTTGGGGGGGGGGGGGGGCGTCCCACGGTACACTCCATTTTAGAGGGACTACTCAGCACTGGTTAAGAGTTGATCAAAATAATACATACATTACAAAGCTGAGTTTCAAAGCTTTAAAATGATACATATTTTGTGTTATTCCATTCAGTGGTTGCTTAGTCATTTCATCAAAGAACAATGAAACAGTCACCAAATTCAAGACAATGATTGGTTTCTACATTTTAGAGAAAATAAAAAAATGTGAGCAATTTGCTTTCTGAAGTATCTGGGCCTTTTTGTGCATTATTATTAAATAAATAAAAAATCACTTGCAGGTTACTCTAAAGAAAACTAATTGTTTTTATAGTCAAACTTTCAATAAAATGTAACCAAGGTTGTGCAGCTGGGGGAAAATAATATTAACCAATGACATCTAATTTAATCCTGACAGAAAAATTCATATCCTCCTCACATTATTTCTCACAAAACACTCAAAAATGTGTCACATTAGTAGTTAAAAGTGAAGCCATTTCATGTCATCTTTAAAGCACATCAGAAGATGTCTTAGTCTCACTGGTCTGACACTTACATTTGATCCCATTTTCTTGAGCATGAGCAGCACCCGCACCTTCTGCTGGATGTACATCTCCTCAGGAGACTTGCCAGGGGCTTCCTCTCGGTTCATCCCCCCTGCTCCTGACGCACTGCTGAGCAACCGCACACAGAGCAAGAGAGCATTCAATTAGTCATATCCCAAATTTTATTTCAAGAACTCGTGAGTTGAATACAGTCCTACTTGGGTTTTATACAAAAAAATATATTGCATGAGGGCCTGGAAATGTGAATAAGACCTAAATTTAACTGTAGTGAACATTTCCATTATATTTATATAAACTGAACAATGTTATACAGAAGAAAAACCCTTACAAACTAGCTGTATGCAATCAGGCAACATATTTGGCTTAAAAAAATGAAACCTATCGTAACCTTTGCCAAATGCAGAAAGCTTCTAATTAAGCAGAATTACAGTGTGTGAAGTCTGAATACACTTCAGATCATGGAGCAGGTTGACAGCATCATAAATGGCCCTCATGCATATTTAATGGAAGATCTAACCGTGCTCCCAGCTTTCCCTCATCTTTCTCACTTCCTAATGACCTATTTTCAGACTTCCACTCAGTGTGAAAGTGTGAAAAATTTTTAAGGACCTTGAGGAGCAAAAAAGAACAATCACAGAAGAAAGCCACAATACAGTCAATTTGCAAAACGATCTGATGCCTCAAATGTCATTTTCCAGAAAATAGCATTATGACACAAACAAAGAGACAGACTGCAGTAATACCATCTAATCCATAATCAATGCAATAATGCATCTCACACCAATGTCATATGGAGAAAAAGGAGGAAGTATCACCCACAGAACGAAGCACTGACAATCAAGCAAAATGAACGGCATCAAATACATTCTGGGGGTTTTGTGAATGTGTCAGAGTGAATCCTTTGGCGACATCCAGCCTGTGATGTCTTACACCCTCTTATCTGCACAAAGAGCCTCTAATACATGTTGACAGCTTGTTTGATGTGGGGTTAGCCTATATTTAATAGAAAAGCTGGTTCAACCCTTCATTTCACGACAGATACATTTGTCTGGCCTTGACTTTAAGAATGACAGTTCCTCCTCATGGCCAGTCTGGTGTGTTAACAGCTTAAATTTTTGAAGGCACTTAATGTAAGCCAGGAAGGCGTTTAAGACAGAAAGCAGTATAGAAACGGGCGACCCTGGCAAAATAACTAACCCAGATTTCCTCTACAGTCACAGACTCATCAGTCACCAAAGGGCCGTGGCATCAAAAGAGCTTCATATTAAATAAAGCATGCACTTTATTCTGCTGCGTCTCGCTGGCAGCCGTGGGGGGATGAGGAGTGCTCGCAGATGAAAGACACACAAGAGGGACCGGAGCGTCAGCTCGGCAGCTCTGTGACACCAGGCACACCTTCAGGGGGAGACGGCTCACTCTCCCTCACTCGCTTTTGATCATAACTGTCCTTCCTGCTGTAGACGAGACAGGCCAGACAGCAGGCATACTCACTGCAGCTCAACTCTGCCGCAAACACCCAAGAAAAGCCTGTGCATAACAACACACCTACTTCATCCTTCCAAGACTGTGGGTAGGAATGTCTAAAAAATGCCCCATAATCTTTCAGGGCTTTAGATGTGTAGCATACCACAGCTCAGGAGGAGCAGGTATTTTGTTTGAGCAAGTCTGCAGATTTTATAAAATATGTGGATGATAGACTATCATTATTAAAATCATTTGTACATTCTCATAGTTTGAAGATGTGTCTTCACATCTTCAAAATAGATGACTTCAAAATATACATTTTTACATTTAGAAAAATCTAACTTGGAAAAGAAGAGGTTATGGATGCACAACACCAGAAATCTGGATTTAAAACGATAATTATTTCATGGCAAATAACAAATATTATGGACCTATAATGTTCTGTCAGTTGCTTTAAAAAATAAAGTGGGTTCACAATGAAGCTACAAACTAGAATTGTACATGCTTTAGTCAGGAGTTCCCAAACCTAAATTATTTACCCCAAGTATAAAACAAAATGTCAAAAAATAAAATCATTTTATTTTTATTTTTAATAAACCTAAAATATTAAAAAGAACTATATATAATTGTAACATACATCAAATAAATATTAATTTAATAATAAAAATTCTATTTATTTATGTCTTTCAGGGATATACGAGAATTTCCTGTACAATTACTATATTTATTCTGTTTTAAATCCTATAGGATTTTTAACCAGGTTTAACCATGTTTCTATGTAGCATGGCTCTACATATAGCAGCGTGTCACCTAAAACAATTTTTTTCCCCCACATTCTAAGGAAAAACTAAATCTAATCAGTGTTATTGCCACCAGATGTCATTTTTGACTTTTCCTGATTTCACAGGAAGATGTCAAATCATGTGGCAATGGGCTAAATATAGAACACCTATCCTCTGGTTCAGCCATGACCCAGACTGCACTGAGGCTCAAGTTAGTCTAATTTGATTTCCCACAGTTTAATTGGAGCTTAATTCAAATTACAACATAGAGCTCCTGTTTTAAAAGCAGGTAAAGCCAAAGTGTTTTAGTCTTGGTTTGATCACTGACTGGATGTTATCTCCCTGCTGCAAGGTCATAACATTGAGCCAAAGCAACGATACTGCAAAAGATCAGTTTATCAGTGGCTCCTGCCACTATCCATGTAGGGAAGGTGCAGAAGCTCTGGAAGGAGATCCACAATCCAGATAGTAGTTCTATTTATAGACTCATCAAGTAATTTGAATCCTCACAAACAGCTTGCTGAGAAAGATTCCTCAATTGTTTGAACGTGTTAGAAATCATGCATCAGAAAGTATTTATCTTCAACTCAAGAAACATCTTTTGCATGAGTTCAGTAAGAAACATCTGAATATGTGCACTTCGATTCTATTTAGTATGCAAAAAGCAGTATGTCAGACATCACTGATGCTTGTGTTGGAATGGGAGCAAATCCCTGCAGCCATGTTCCAAAATCTAGTGAAAAGCCTTCAAGCCTTCCGAGAAGAGTGGATGATGGAGGACCAACTCCTCTAGAAATGCACATGGTTTACAAATTATGATGTGATATTTGGGTCTCTGCATATTTTTTAAGCGGTGTATGAAAAGCAATCAAAATCCTTCCACTGACCAGAACTAATCGAGCTCATCAAAAAAGATGCCCCCAAAAGACAAACATTTCAACTCCAGACTTGCTTCAATATGAGAATAAATAAACAACCTACTGTATTTGCAGCCAGAATGTTAACCAATCACCATCTAAAACATAATTGGCACAAATGGTTTTCCATGGTATAACGAATTCCCAAGACACTGGATTTTGCTTTGGATCATAGGATGTTACACAACCTTTGCCTGTCAGTGGAAACAGACGATGCTGACTTGAAGAATGACTAACTTCTAAACCCCAAAACTAGGCTAATTGTACAGCCAAAGTAATTCTGTCAGCGAGCATGTCATCCTGCCCAACAACATCATGCCCCCTGAACAGCTGGAGTGAATGAGTAACAAATAAACTAATAAAAGGGGATGAAAGGAGTTTTTTAAGTTCCATCTGAGGGAACGGCGATTCAGCAGAGGGCACTGTATTAGTGAGATCTGTTTTATGTGCCTCAATCACCAACCCTTGACCAAACTGAAATCCATTTACATGATCAAAAACTTGATCAACATCCAGTGGGTTATAATCCGCTTATAATTACAACCAGAAACCACCTACAGCAAACAACAAGCCGGTTTGACTGTCCTTATTCCCCTTCTCTCTGCCTCCACTTTCCTGTCTACTTTGAATGAAACAATAAAATAAGACACACAGAGGTGATTTCGGCAGAAAATATGGTGCAATTACAAAGTTTAGCCACTATAAAGCCCAACAATCACTTGCCAGCAGATTTTATGGTAAACTAGCCATTTACAGTGTGGAAACAATAGTTAGTGTATTTGACAACAATAGAGGCAGCCAGAGCTGGTATGACTGATAACTAGGTCATGACTCGTTAGCAATGCATGAAGCAAGACCCAGCAATGCAATCCCTGTAAATTCAAAAATAGTCAACACAAAAATAAGTTGAATTTGACGAACTATAAAAAAAAGTCTACATAGTTAAAAAGCAGATCAGAACATTCAAGGAATGATACTTTGAAATTTCAGCAAGTTTAATCGCAACCAACTTTTTATGACAGGGTGTGAAGCGGTTCAAACATTACTGAAGTTTTCTAAGGCTTATTTTGTCAATGCATCGCTTCGGTATTCAAATCCGTCTAGTATAAGTGTTTCACAAGATGGTTGTCATGCACCAGAGCACTTGTCATGAATCACAATACAAAACCCACTGCAGTGGGAAGCTCCCTTTGGGATCACTGCTGCACCGGCTGTCAGACATATACAGCTATATAAAACAATGACAAGACAATTCCCTACATAATATGATTTAAGAAAACTTCAACTAAATGGGCTCAAACACTATATTTCAAGACAGGAAGTCAGGCCTTTCCTGCTAAGGTGTGACTAATCTGTCTGAGACCTAAACCAGGTAAAAAATACAAAAAAATTCTAATAAAATATATAAATTATATAATAATATAAAAATAATAAAAACATAAAATGAAAAATACAATTATTATATTTAATATTTTAAATATATCTATATATATATTTTTTATGACATACACACATATACACTTTTTTAATGTAGTAAAATGTAATATTGCCAGAAAAGGATTGAGATCATTAATAGTGCAAGCAACATTTTTCAAAGTCAAAGGAAGCCAACCACTGAAAATTTAAGCAAGCTGAAGAGGATTTCGCTTATTACCACAGAAAGAAGCCACATTTGCAGCCAGCGAGGCTGATTTAAGCCTGGATCGCGGCCTTGATTATGTAGGAGCAGGCCTGCAAGGCATAAACCCAGCCTGTGTCGTGTCTGACGGACAGAAAAGTGAGGGGGTGGGGGGATGCCAAGCGACACCAGGGGGGCTGGGCTCCCCACAAAAAAAAAAAAAAAAAAAAAAAAAGAGAAGATGGG